TTTAAACAAAATTAGCTATAGCTAATAATAATCACATGATTGCCTTTTGTGGTGACAAACTAAAACTCGTATACATATTGAAAGCAAGGTTTAGTAATAGATATTGTGATCTATATTTAAATATATTCTCAAACACGAACAAAGTTTTACGTAATTGGATAACAGCATTTTCTTGATTCACTGGAGGTAGATATTATGCTTTCCGAACAAGATTTCTGTTTCCCGGTTTCATCTCGATTACACCCAAGTGGAAAGTTTTAGCTAGCTTACCTTGGTCATTAACCACTCGATGAGGAAATCGATCAACCCATGATTGTTTGGTGCATAAAATTTCGTATTTGGTGCTTTAAAATCCAAGAGAACAAAAATTAATCCACTCTGTAATAATCACCTCAAATCATAGTCGTAGGTATTCAGGTTGACCAAATTGGATTGAATCAAGTATGAAGATAAGCTGATGGTTTTGGTGATAGTTCATCTAAACACATTCTTATAAACGGTAAATTAATCACTGTTCGAGTCACATAATCTACTCATGAGTCTGAACGGTAAAACAACACGTAAGCGGGTCAATAAAAGACCATTGTGAAACAGCCTGGTTTCTCATGGAATTTTAAAATCAGCCTGGAACAAACAAATGAGAACATTTAATGCATCCTAACTCTATGCAGTTTACCACAATTTACTAAGATTTTCTCACGACGTAGAGTGATTCCAGGTACGCTTAGCTTATTTAACTATAATTTTTGAGGTAAACTGGCCATTCTCTTAAACCAGAAACACTATAACACTGTGCGGTTTCCTTGATAATTTTATTTCAGCAAGTTGACGCATACATGTGGCCAGTTAACAATAATGACAGCTCTACGGAACTAAAACGAACACATAAAGTGTCAGGAGTAAACGCTGAGGAAGGAAACATCCTAAAATAAAGCAGGGCAGTTTATATCAGTAATTGGCAGTATTCATACTATAAACATGAGACAACAATATGAAAAAGCAATTTTTAGGATGAACCTATTGTAATCTATTGCAGTTGTCTGCTTGAAACTTCCGATTAATGTTTAGGACTGCGATTGATCAGTTTCTTGTTGACATATGTGCATGGTGTACGGATTACCTCGATATTGCCTTAAGTCACAAGCATTCTAAGCAAAGATGAATGGTGGATAGTAGTGTATTGTAGGATGCGCGCTTCGTTTTATTTGGGACTCGTCAGCTGGATGTACCTCATCCCACAGTTGATGTTCACATACATAGAGTGGAGTAATAGTGATCTCCGATAAAAGGTGGTTGGACACATACTTAAATAGCTGCTGAAACAGATGAATTCCAATGGTCAAATAAGATCACAGGATGGACAAGTATCTCCATACATTAATAAGTATTTGGTTGAGACTTGTCATATGGTTAATAAAACGTCAGCCAATGTAGTGTTATACAGAAGTTTTAAAGGTCGCATACCAAGTTTTATCGAAGCCGTGACTATACGCAAGCTGAAACCCTCTTTATGCGTTGGAAAACATATCGTCAATAAGCTGGAGTCATTTACAAATGATCTGCTGCGTCCCAGCCTTTCTATGTTAGGCTTATCGCTTTGCTTTCATTCCTATGTGACACATTCTTGGGTTCATTTTGATCCTGTTTTGTATTGCAATGGATTTTTTTCGTTTCGTTTATTATTAACAAGACTGTTGACGGACATTATTAGTTTTATCAGCCGTTTTCGTATAATGAGAGAGCTTAACAAAGCTTATGTCACTAGTAGTTAATTTAGACAATGCCCGTCTTCGTAATTAAGGCTAGTGATGACAAAAAGACGATTGACTTTCAGCAAATGATCGCTATTATCAGTTCGCAAACATAGAAATCGGAAGATATCCGTCTGTCTAAATCAGCCGTGATACTTGCTCATTGAGGCCACACCTACCAATATGGATACTTTTCATTCATTAGAATTCTAGAGCTAGTCTAGGAGCTTTAGATATATTTTGTAATTGACGTTCAAATTAGATGAACACTTAGACGAACAGTATATAAAATCCTTGCTAGTTCCCTTAGGACCACCCCTCCATAAGTACACAGACGCCTTTCCAACAGGAAGCAGTCTACGTAGGCTCTTTCTTCACTAGAATATAGCGGTATCTCGACAAATGTAAACGCATGAGAAATATCTACTGAACCCACAAACACATGTAATGTTTAGTACTGATTTAACATAATCGTAGAATGGGCAAAGCAAATAACTATTTGAATCCTATTGACGTCTTGGAAGATGAAAAATATATCTATGACTCAAGGCGATATACTTCACATAATCACTGACTATTGATAATGTGTATATAGGAAGTTGTGGAACTTCTAGTTGTGCACCACACAAAAATCGTAATCTATGGTTGGAGAGTATAGATCACAAAACTAGAAATCAATGAGTTTAAATAATTCCTTACTTTAGTGTAATTACATGGGTTTCATTATTTGATCTCATTAGTTGTTTTGATTCAACTACTGAATTCAGAAGCACATGTAATGTGTAGTACCGATTCAACATATTAGTAGAATGGGCAAAGTAAATAATTTGAATTACAAACATACCTCATTCATACAACAAACGTGCATAGAGCACAACAACTTGCCTCTGAGTAGTTACTTAAGTGACTTAAATGGAAAGAAACGAATAGGATCGTATGGGATTCTATATTTTACTGAAACGCTATTCCACTTCTACGATTTTGTAAGAAATGTTGTTTAACCCCTCTTTCCGACTAATTGTAGGACGAAAAAGAGGATTGATGTGTACGAACAGAGCGATTCATTTTATTTGTCAACTTGCTGCCAATACTGTCTATCATAGAAAGATACACGGGATAAGGAACAAAACTTGATTATTCTCATGCGCATGTACTTATACACACACAAACGTGCGTACAAGGATTAAATGTTTAGCTTATAAAAAACTACATATTAGAAAGTACTTTAATTACGGAAACAAAGGATAAGAAAGAATATGATACAACTCAGTAGATATTTTCACGATAACTGTGCAATTCATAGGAAAATATGAACTAAATGCGATCGAACATGATGATTATGTGATCACTTGTAATAAGAGTTTGTGTATGTGAGATAGATAGGAGAAAGAAATTCAAGGAAAAACAAGAGAGAGAGAGAGAAAAAAAAGACCGTAGAATAAAACTGATGTGATTTTCATCGGTGTTTAATATTTATCTACGTGAATGTCGAGATGATCCTTGGGATTGTGAAGTTGAATATATAGTAATAGAACCCGGATTATTATTAATATTATTGTTAAGATTAGATTCCATATTCATTGAATCTAATGACGAACGTTGATGATGGTGGTGATGATGAGCTGAGGGACAAGAAAGAAACAAGACGAATTTAGTAAAACCCACAGTAGTTTACGTATCGTTGATAGGCTACATTATTGATACCACACAACTAATACATTAGAGAACTGACTAGTAGTAAATAAATAGTAAATAGTATAATTTGTAATATATTTTTAATTATTGATGATAAATTATAAAGTGGATTGTGCAACTATGACCCGTAACTTAACAATACTTACGAATGATCGATTAGTATATGAGGGGAAATAAAAAATTAGAAATGTAGGTATTTATAATGACGTTTTCACTAAATAAGAACTTTCGTCTAAATTCGAACGAATAGTTTCACAATATTGGGGCGCCGAGTTTATGTGAGAAGTTTTTACTTCTTTTATGAGAATTCACCACATCACTTGTTATAACTTTACATTTAATCAACAACAATATTAATGATAATTCTCATCAAGAACGGACATCAACTTGGTAACAAATATTGTAAATCAAGGAGAACTGAACATATTATATGTTTAAAACAATTAGTCCCTTTGATAAAATTCGATAATGCAATGAGAAGACGTAGTTTATCAGAATTATGTGATATAATTGCGCAATACATTTCGAACAATCTGATCACACATATACATGTTAAGAACATTTATATATGAAAATTAAAAGGTCAACTAGACAGGTTAAGGGTAAGTCATAACGAAGGAAAAATATTAAAGTACACAAAAACAAATGTGATTACCACTCTGGATAGTAAATCGGTACTACCAGGGTAGGTTATGTGTAAGCACAAATTGTTTTTGAACACATAAAGGGGGTTTCAGTTTTCGTATAGCCAAGGCTTCAATAAACCTTAGTATACGTCCTTGAAGGCTTTTGTACAACAAAACAAATGCTGATTTGATATCAACCTTATGACCCGTCTCAATCAAATGTTTCGCAATGGATGATGATATCTGTCTATCCTGTGATCTTATGTATTGCGCAAATATATCACATAATTCGGATAAACTACGTCTTCTCATTGCATTATCATATTATATGTGTAAATGATATTAGAAATATTCTCAGCGATTGAAATTTAACTAATTCCAACGTTTCGTCCAGCTAACTTGTCTGGACTTCTTCAGGGTAATAATCAAAATCAAAATTATCAAAGAAATATATAGCTTTTTAACAATCAGGATTATACTGTGTTAAACCAATCATATTTGGATGTTGATTTTTTGTAAAATAGGATGAGTCAGTTAACTAGAAATCATGTGGAGAAATCAACTACATGGAAATACTTAACTGAGTAACAAATCGTATGTGTGTGTGTGTAGGTATGTATGTATGTGTGAGAGATTGATATGAAGGAATAAATAAAGTTCAAGTTCAAGGATGAAAAATTGATAATGAAACATCGATGTACATGTCAAAACATAAATTGTATTTTCACAGATTGAACTCATGAGTCAGTTGAAGCTAGACCACCATTGAAAACCTGGAAGCACTGGACGGCCGTTTCGTCCTAGTATGGGACTCCTCAGCAGTGCGCATCCACGACCCCGCACCACCCGGGGCTCGAACCCAGGACCTACTGGCTTCGCGCGCGAGCACTTAACCATTAGACCACTGAGCCGGCATCCAACGGTGTTAATGTCTAACTTCAACCAATCCACGAAGTTGCGCTACCGTACACCATTGTCTTCAGTGAGTTCCTATCTCACAACAGACCTGGTTGAACTCCACTGGTAACGACTTCTAGCTTCAACTGACTCATGAGTTCAATCTGTGAAAATTTCTAAAAATCTCCACAAAACACATTCTGATAATAAATTGTATTGTTTAAAAACTCATTGAATTCTTTCAAAAATAATAACGATGCATGTGATATTAAAAACAGATTTAAACAAGAGATAGGTTCCAAATTTACTTGTCAAACGAAATTTGCCAGGTAGTTGCCAGTTGAATACCATCTTTTCGGATCAGGCTGTTCTTGTTCGCCCATATATGCAGCGCTTCTGCTGTCAATCTTTCTTTATGGGTGTTAAAACCTTTATGAAGTATTCTGGTCCCTTCAAAATTAAACTTGTGTCCTGTTTCTAACGCATGTAACGCTATCGCTGACATATTTTCAAGTTTCTTTAAATCGGCCGAGGATTTCGGAACATTTTTCAAGCATTGTTTGTGTTCCTTCAATCTTACATTCAATTGCCTGGATGTTTCTCCAACATAGGTAGCATTACAGTCATGACAGTGAATCTCATACACAATGTTCTGTTGTTCTTCCGTTGCTAACTTGTCCTTAAATTTCACTAATGTCAATCTTAATGTGTTATACGCTCTAAAATATACTCTTATATCATGTTTGTTTAGAATTCGTTTGATTTCTTCTGATGTTTCACTACGGTAAGGTATGACTACGGTGTACTTCCATTCTTTTCGTATACTTTCTAGTTTAGTTTTTCTTTCATTTTTAATAATCGTCTTTAAAAACCTTCTTGGGCAGTTGTTATCCCTAAGAGTAGAACATGCTTTATTTAATTCGGTTCGTTGGTCATCCTTGTCTGTAACAATCTTGGTACTCCTGTTCATTAGATTTTTTACTACATTACTTTTCGTGCTCTGTGAATGGGCTGAATTAAAATCCAAGTATCTCTCGGAATGTGTTGATTTTTTGTAAACATTTATTTTTAACTCCTTATTATTGTGTCGTGGTTCAACCAAACAATCTAGAAATGCTAGTTTGTGGTCGACTGATTCTAATTCCTTAGTTTAATGCTTTCAGAAATGCAGTTTACATTGTTGAATAGTTCTTCCATACCATCCCGTGGCGAGACTCTAATTTAGGGACGAGCCAATCAGAAGCGTTTGAGCAATTTCAACTATTAGGCAATCAGAAGACAGCACAAAGTAAAAATATATTAAAAGAAAGTAATAATTTACAGTGGATGTTCTTCTTTTACATGATTTAAAAACTCGTATGTTAGCATCCTAACCTTAACCCTCACCTAACCCTAACCGTATGTTAGCACCCTAATCCTAACCCTAAACCCTAACCTAACCTTACCCGTAAACCTAACCCTAACCCAATGGACGAGTTTCTATTCCATATGCATTGTGAATTCAGAACCTCTGAACCTTAATCAAACCTTAACAAGTTTTTAAATCATGTAAAAGGAGAATATCCACTGTAATTCATTACTTTCATATATTTTCACTTTATACTAACTTTCTTCTGATCGGCTAATAATTGTCAAGGTCACTTAAGATTCGTTCAAAGGTCGTCCTTAAATTAGAGTCTCGCCCATCCCGTTTATTGATAATAAAAATATCGTCTACATACCTTAACCATAACTTTGGTGGACATAAACTCTTTGCGATTGCACTAGTTTCTACGGAATGCATGAATAAATTCGCTACGATCGGAGGAACTGGTGAGCCCATTGCTATACCCTCTTTCTGTCTGTAAAGTTGACCTCGAAATATGAATAAGGTAGATCTTAAACATAATTCTAAGCATTTTATAACCTCTGATGGATCTAATGGGCATCGTAAATTTAAATCTAAATCAGATTCTAAACAATCATTGATAATATCCATATTCTGACTGATAGGTACATTAATGAATGAGGAAGATACATCATACATACCTACACAAACACACACCTACGATTTGTTACTCAGTTAAGTATTTCCATGTAGTTGATTTCTCCACATGATTTCTAGTTAACTGACTCATCCTATTTTACAAAAAATCAACATCCAAATATGATTGGTTTAACACAGTATAATCCTGATTGTTAAAAAGCTATATATTTCTTTGATAATTTTGATTTTGATTATTACCCTGAAGAAGTCCAGACAAGTTAGCTGGACGAAACGTTGGAATTAGTTAAATTTCAATCGCTGAGAGTAGTTCAGATATAATTTTCACATATAACGACTTCTCTATACTCGGCACTCAATTGCTGTCAAACTATTCGTTCTAATCTTGACGAATATTCGTATGAACTGAACATATGTTTTTCATTCAGCTTTGTTGCTATTGAAGGCGCTTGCCAATATGCAAACACATTGTGTGAGAATGACCCACGGGTGACTTCGAGGAAGCTCTAAGAAGCTCAGAAAGTGCCGAAGATATTCCATCCAATCATCTTTCGGAAAAACATCCCAGAATAACTACGTGTAGCTTCCCTATTGACAAATGCTAAAAACCACTGTATGTGGATCGGATAACTATAATGATGATTTCGTTTTTAATAAAAACTATAAATACCTGAGAGTTTTGTACCATATTCGACACCGTTTAGAACAGCATCCCTTTAACTTGTCTTCTCTCTCCGCTAGCGTTCGAGTGCTCAAGTTGTACGCGATATACCAAGAATCTAAGGTCTAGATATAACAGCTGGCGACGGGGTCAACTTATCAACTGGTGATCGAATTTAGCACTTTCAAGTTGTGCTATAAAGCAATGATTCGATACTTAATTTTGTTAGTTATTGTCATGCAATATCATCAGTCAGTCAGTCAGTAACAACGTAGAACTTCGTACGTACGTACATCAGTTCGAATTGCCACACTACATTAGCACAGAGATGCAGTGGTCGATTCAAATCCTGTAGTGGTAGAGGTAGTGAAAGTATAAGCAGTAATCAGAAACATTAGGGTTTGAAGATGTTGTTTAAAGAGTATAATACAGTGAAATAAATTTGGAAAGAGGAAAAAAAGGGACATGAAGAATTCAGAAGATTAGAATTTGGGAGAACACCAAGAGTGAATGCACCTGCGCCATTGCAAACGATTATGAGCCATGTTGTCATTCAGGGTCTCTAACCATCGGTTGCTATCATCTCGCGGTCCCCAACCAGGTAGTCTACACCTACCAACATGACTCAGTCCACTTGTCAGTGACTTCATGGACTTGTGCCATGTTTTGGTCTAGCCGCCCCTAGCATTCGTCCAACCTACTCCTATACCATCGCAATATCATCAATAAAGTTGCTATCTTACTATAGCATTACAGTCCTTACAAATATAAATTTATCTACTGTATATGAGTGGAGCAGTGTCTCATTGGTTAAAGCACCTGAATTGCAGACCATGAGTTCCAGGTTCGAACCTTGCTCGATCTACTTTGATGCGAGTAACTAAAGAATATCACCAGACATATACATACAAACAGTATGGCTTTGAAAATATATTTGATAAAGAAATTGTTGTATCGGAGCAATGCAGCATAGAATTAGCAAAAAGAGATTTGAATAGGTAACCTGCTAAACAAGCAACATCATAATATTCCATAAAATATACATTACAACATTTTCGGGATGTGAACTAAGACCTACCTTTAATTTCGCTTACCTTTCTTTGCTTTCTTTACTAAACCTGCTGAACTGGAAGCAATTAAATTTCGTTCATTTTCTAAGCTTGGTTCTCTACTTTCAGTGGAATTACCCGATGATGCTCTTTGATGACTCGACTGTCTAGATTGATGATGATGATGATGACGTAGAGAAGAATTAACAGGATAAATATTTTCACCAGGGCTTGTTGTTGGACGACTACCAGTACCACTACTACCGCCGCTGCAAGAATTAACACTGGGAACAGTGTTGGAAACTATACCGGCATTTGTGTAGCGTAAATTTTGCATAGCAGTTTCTGGAGTGATCGGTGCACTTCCTGGAATAGTTGTGGGAGTTGAACGTTTACGTGTGGAAGATTTATGTGACTCACGTGGTTCGTCAACCGTGTTCACTGATGCCTGTTTCAAAGAAAATAAATACGCGTACTACATTGAAACTTAAAGATGGGAAAAGTCAAAGAAAGATTATAGATGTTTTACTATCAGCCACTCAGTACAAGTAATTACAAAGACGTTCTTTACAAAAGGAAATAAGCCAACCTTAATCTCACTTTTAGCCATTATACGAGTTATAAGATTAAAGCTGAAAATCTTTAAAAAGATATATCATGATTAGAATTTATCACTGGCTTCTTACAAAACGTTTTATCTCAATTAGCTCTGTAACATGATGAACTAATACATGGTCAAAATAGATTGGTAAAATTTTTACGTAAAATAACATGTCATGTTGTTTACCTGCTATCACTCATGACAACTAATTAGCTTTTGTACAATAATAATTACTTTTAAAAATAAAATCAAATTCATTTTAGCTTAACTAAAAACATCTGGTACTGTTAGCACACAAACAAGTGAACGTTTATTCCAAGTTTGTGCAACCATGCAAGATAATGCAACAGAAATCAAATAATCTTAAAAATCAACAGATGTAAGAATCTTTACGAATAAGATGTATATCAAATGTAACTTCTGGATGTATAAGAAAGTGACAAATAAAGCTTCGAAGTAATTCTTTTTATTGTTCGCATTAACATTTTTTTGTAAATTGTTCAAATGAGGATTTTTCCGTCTAGTTCAAACATACTACTTACATATTGAATTAAAAGTGAATATTAACCATTTTAATTCCAATAAGGAAAAATAATAAATGTCAGCAATTAAAACATTAAAATTTAACACTGAGATGGACGGTGTAGTTGTCAAGGTACAATTCTGACTATGAACAATACAAACAGTCTATTTTAAACACAAATCAGTTTAAATAAAAACTTCCATGTAACTTACATCAACATATCACGGACAAGTACGCATACAAATTTTATCGGGAAAATATCAGGTATTTAAAAACGTTACAGATACCAGAGAAGCGTGATGATAATTTAATTACCAATCAAAAGATGTATCGACATATATCCGATATACCTATGCGAACAAGGTCGATCCCCGACCGAAGCTGCTACCTTGACGCGGTGGTCGGGCTTGCCTATCGTGATGACCCAACCGAGCTATATTGGCTGGAATATATGTTCCTGTAGGTTCTACCATGCCAGGCAGGTCGATTGGAGAACGGTAAGACTAAAACCAGCAACTCAATGTCTGAGGGCGAAGTCGTACAGCTGACTGTATAGGGGTGTGACAGCAGTAAGATGTTTCCCTCGGACAACCAGCATCTGCAGCGATTCTGCCTTCTCACAAGGAAGGAAGGGGTTAGAAAAGGTCGACCCTAAAAATGTCACACCTCAACGTACCTCACGGATTTCCGTCTCCGGAGGTAAGGCCCTTTGAAGAACGGAGCTAACACGTCAAAAACCTTCCACAAAAAGGCCGTGCGCGACCGGCCTCAAGCAGTTGTTCCCTGGGCTCTGCGGTCACGCTCCCAAGTCGTCAAGACCACTCATCCGAATTCCTTTTCAGGTTCCTTAAGAAATACCCTTCCACGGTGTGGGCAGCCGGAAAGTGACATCAGCCCCCACACCCGTAACAACACACGAGACCAAGTTGATCACATTCAAATCCTTCCTACACCTCCTAATACCACTCTTATCTCCCCGACTAACCCTTACCACATCCCTTTATCATCTCGTACCGCTGGGGAAAACGATTCGAGTACGTGGAACGCTATTCCTGGTCTCCTGAAACCACGCTCTAAACTACACGTAGGAGCTTTTAACGTACAAACACTTTGCCAAATAGGACAGCAGGCTTCGTGTATCTGGAAGCTCTGATGCTGCTTCTCGTGGCCTCGCCGGCGTAGGCGTAGCATTGAGTCCTAGGGCAGAAATAGCTCTCTTAAACTTGATCCCAGTAGACAGCCGTTTGTGCGCTGTACGACTAAACGGAACAGTAAAGATCCGGAAAGATAGGGACACTCGTCGTTGCCTCTTCGTCGTCTCTACCTATTCTCCCACTGACTGCAGCTCAGATGATGTAAAAGACGAGTTTTACAGAAAGCTTTCCGACCTTCTCCGAAAAGCTAGGCGCTCTGATGTAGTATTAGTGGCTGGGAAATGCAGACTACTTGGTTGGGGTCCGCGTGATTATCGTAACCAATGGTTGGAGACTGTGGGTGACATGGCTCAGAATCGATCACAATGGCGTAAGTGTATACACACTTTGTCTTCCCTTAAACTATGAGATTAGAATTGTTGTATGTCTTCCTTTCTACGAACTAATTCTTTCTTTCTGTACTATATCCTTACATGAAATCTTTAGTTTATAAATTGTGCCATTGAGTTAACTGCTTCTATGAATCCGGTGTTCGTCTTGCTGTGCTATTGAGGTATGGCAGCTTGGACCGATGCATATATATGTACCTAGTCCTACGTTTTAACTGACTGACTGAAGGGTTTGATGGTAAAGCTTTATCGTCCTTTTAAACAAAATCAGAACATCAAAAGGGAGCGATCTATTAGAGTTTCTCTATAATCTCTTGTATTGAGTATCAATGATCATTAGTTGTACCATTCGGCTTTCACTGACGGCTAACTTTGAAACATCTACTCATGGTGATGCCTAGAAAGGTAACTCAAGGTTTGTGACTAAACAATTCAACTAAGACAACACAAGACCTCCAAGATCCTAATTCTAATCTCTAATTGCATTCTATCATCGCATAGGTTTGTTTATTATGCTGTAAGTCACAGTTTTCAACTAATCACAAGATCCAATTAATCGTGAAGATTACACTGTTATGCAGACAATAAGTTGGGTTCAAAAAGATTAACCAGAACTAATTCAGGATATTTATCGTGGTCATTATCTAGTAGCATCACAATAAGTATTCATTTCGCTTTGAACTTGATTGACTATAACGGATGTTAGAGAGCGTTATAAGATAGATACA